AAGTGGGTTTGGTTTTTAATACATAAAGCAATTTCGAAGGGTTGGGAAGTAGGGAGATATACAGCAGTGGGGAGTTTTCTTGGCAACCAGCGGCAGGCTTATCCCAAGAAGAGATTTGTTAATCTACACAAGTGTGTGTTCCAAAACATATGGGAACTTGTTGCATTCCTTTCCACAGTTCAGCCCTCTCTGTACTGCACGGGATTTGGACACACGTGCAGGTGATGTCCCCGACACCCCGTCCACTGCCACAGTTAGCTCAGAATGGTGGCAGGGGGTAAATGGAGAACGAGGCACAGGTTGTTGGTGAGGTTGTCCCACGTCCGGACTCCTTTACCTCTTTCTGCCTCACGTTAGTTGTCTTCACGTCTAGTTCCGCTCTGCGAAGCTGTGGGGCTGTCGTAGGTTCCCCAGAATCTCCCTAGAGTCCAGCCCACGCTCGTAGGGGCTCAAGAAATCGTTGCCAAAACCTTGAGTGAAAACGTCCCTCTGTCCCGCTCCGTTCCGTAAGGAGATCCCAGCGTCTTTTTCCCCATCTCCGAGGCGATGTGGTTGCCGCAGGTACCAGGCCCCGGGGCCCCTGGGCTATTCGGCCTCTCGGCCGGGGCGGACTCGAGGCCTGAGGCGGGAGAAGCTCGGCGCCCGCAAGGCCAGGTATGCAAATGTCCGGCGGAGGGGCAGTCCCTTCATTTCCCTCTCTGCTCCGGGATAAAATGACTGGGCGGGGCGCACGGCAGGCGCACAAGGCGCTGCCTCCCGGGACCCGGCCGTGCGCTCCGGCACAGCACCCCCTCAGCCGCCCGCGCCACCCACTGAGGCAGCGCGCTCTCCTTCACGGAGCACAGCCCCAGTCTGGCGCCAGCCTTGCCTTGCGACCCACCGGCTTCGGGTAAGAACCAGCAGCGAATCGGGCACACAGGGGTGTGGAGTGGGGAAAGGATCACCTGGACCGCAAGGGAGGCAACTTGAATCTCCTTTCGGGTCGCCTTCGCCTCACGTCCAGAGACGCCTTCCCTGTCCCCTCATTTGAATGGTAACGTGCGAGCCGGCCGCGCACCAAAATTCTGTGCCTCAGCTGCACTCTCAGTTGGGGCAGGTGGCATTTCCTCAGATTCTGAGAAGGGACAGTTTGTCCCCAGGCCATCAGCAGTCCAGACAGAAAGAAATTGCTTTTGGTATGCACAGGATTAGGAGGCACTTAGATTCTTTTGGAGTAGAGTGAGATTGGGAGTCAGAAAGGAAAAGATTCCATATGTCTTTCTATCAGTTTGTTATTTTTTCTCCAATTTAGTCATCCAGAGACACTTTGGGGAGCCAGTGGGAAGTAAAGAAGCATAGAGGCTAAGGAGAGAGAAAGGTGTGGGTGTGTACACGTTTGAATGAGCAGAACTAATAGACGCAGGGCAGAAAATACTTGCCAAGTCCAGCTAGCTACCCAGCTCTGCAAATTGGATATATCTAGTGTTTTTTGGGGTAGGGGTAGGACTTTAGTAGTGGTTTTTTTTTTTCTTTCCTTTCCCTTATTTAAACAAAGAGGAGTCTGATCATCTGAAGTCTGAAGTCAGTTCTTTAACACTAGCACCAATCTTAACATTGGCCAATTAAAGTCTGCAGTTTGCCCAACAGCCTTTCATGCAAATCCCTCCTTGTCTCATTCCTTCCTCCACTCCAATCCACTATCCCAGAAGATGCAATATAGAAGGAAGAAAAATATTGTTAAAGAAGATGTCCAAGTCCATCTTATCATTCCCTATTTTATACATTAGGTATAAGGTTTTCTCTGCAGTGGGGAGAATGAAATGAACGGGAATCCTGCTTCTCTCTCCTTCCTTCTCTTTTCCTTAAAAGTAGTCAGAACCATCCTAAGGATGGAGGACCTTTGTAAGTCTCTCTTCCACTTAGTGAAGACCTGTGGGCTTCCCAAATGGAGATAAGCACATGGCAGTTAGGTAAATAGGTGTCCTTGAGCTATAGAATCTGAACTGGAAGGTCACAGAGGCAAAGAATGAGAAGTGACAGATCTGATTAATTTCTGAGGGAAGGTTGTGGTAAAGTAGAGCTGTTTTACACATCTCCTCACATTTCTGTTTGTGTATCTTTGTGTTAGTTCTGGATAAAAGAAGACTGGAAGCATGTCAGAGTTCTGGCTAATTTCTGCCCCTGGAGATAAGGAAAATTTACAAGCTATGGAGAGGATGAATACTGTAACTTCCAAGTCCAACCTGTCTTATAATACCAAATTTGCTATTCCTGATTTCAAGGTAAAACTCATGGGAAGAAGAAGAAGGAGGTGATGGGTGAGAGTGGGTGTTCTCTGGGAAACCAAGGAGAAAATATAAGGGCAAAGGCAGAAACACTGAGGAGCAGCCTTGGGGTTGAGGCTGAATATGGGGAGTTGATGGTTTGGATGAGACTTCATAACATAGCTCAAACTTAATTGTGGTACCAGTGGACTTGGAGCCACAGTAAAGAATAACAGGGGGAGAGGATTGTGGGTTTGTTCTTGTTAGGTGCCATCAGGGTCTAAATCTTCAAAAAGTGATAAGAGCATTTTATATACTGGCATCTTCATGTGTTGTACTCAGGCTGCTCCTATTTTGTCTTCAACATCTAAGAAGACCAACAGTATGGTTAAGATGTGCAGACTTGGAGGGCTTCAACCTTGAGTGTCCTCTTGATCAGGAGGCAAGGGAGGAAACCCAAGATCCTTCTGGGTTTGCAGAGGGGAAAGGAGGGGATTTAGTAATAACTCAGTGGATGGCAGAAAGAGGTTTGAGTAATTCTGGAGAGTCTCAGGGCTCTTGTAGTGGAGTACAAAGTTAAAATAAAACTAATCTTAAAGAGGAGCAAAATATGTACAAGTGGTAAGACTGGATTCTGAATCCATATCTTGCTGACTTTAAAGCCTACTGCTATCCAGGGGCAGATGTAATGAAGGTTAGTAAATTCAGCATCTTATTATTTACTCTTTGTGAGAGACTATGCTAGATGCTGGCAGATACAAAGATTAAAAAAAAAAAAAAAAGAAAAAGAAAGACCTACCCCTGTCAAAAGTTGCTTAAAATCTAGTCAAGTTGCTTGAAAACAAGAATCTTTATTTATTAGAAACATCCAGGCCTTGTAATTTCCTAATATTTAATGTCTGGATGGTGGTTGGTCACCTTTTGATTCTCTGAATAGACTTTTAGATAGGATTTTTGACATTGTAATTATTTCCACATCAAGAAACAGATCATTGTAAGTAATTTGAAAAGAAAAGAACCTTGATAATGATGAAATGGAAGGAAAAACTGTCCCCCACCCCCTTTGACAAGATCACTGTCAATACAGCAAAGAAGACCAGAGGAAGGATTTGGTGGGAGAATGTTGGAGAAGAAAGGCTTTTAGAAATGATAACTTCTTAAACTTTTTCTAGTGTGTATCTTCCCCAGCTATGAGGATTAATCATATGAATAGCTGACCACCGTTCAAAGAGGAAAAAGAGCAAAGGTCAGACCACCTTCCTAGGGCAAACACATGACAGTTTCTTCTGTTGGCCAAAGAAAACTCCAAAGTCTACCAAGTTTTTCCCAGTTTCTAGTCTGGCCATTCACCAAGAACAACTAATTCAAGATGGAAGTTACAGAATTCTCTGAACTATTGTTGAAATGGCAAACCACATTTAACCTACCATAAAGTGTGTGTGCTTAAAAGTTCTTTATGATCTTTCTAGGTGGGGACCTTAGATTCCCTTGTTGGTCTCTCTGATGAGTTGGGAAAACTCGATATCTTTGCTGAAAGGTAAAATATTTCTTATTTACTCCATACAAGTGCAAATTTGACATTGTTGTCAGAGGACACAGTGTTCTTGCTTTGGCTGAATACATACTTGTCTGAACTGGGTCCTCAAAGTCAGTGAAAGAGTCCAGGTAGGTCCTCCTGAGGGTGCCAGATGAATAGGAGCGTTGATGAGTAGGGGGAGTTTTGTTTGCTGGAGACAGCAGTTTTAGGGACCTGCCTTCAAAATGAAGAGGGCCATGATATAAGGTACTGAAAACTTTAAAAAATAACTGATATAGTTCCCCTACACAAAAAAAACTTCTAAAGTTTTTCTTTTTTAGTGATATATGCACATAGTGTAAAAAGTTCAAACCATACGAAAGCTGTGCAATGAAAGTTAAGTTTTCCTCTCACCACTTTTTATTTCCTCTTCCCTTGTTCTCTAATTCCCCTTCTTTGAGACAGTGCTATTATCAGTTTTTAGGTGAGCCTTAGCCTATACAAAAAAGAAACAAACAAACAACAACTAAACCCATTGCCACTGAGTTGATTCCAACTTATTGTGACCCCATGTGTGACAGAGTAAACTACAAATATAAGACTATATTCTTGAAAATGCTCTTATATGAATGGTAGTATACTGTCTGCACCTTGTTTTTGTCATTTAATAATATATCTTAGAGATGTTTTCATGTCAGTCCATAACTGTACATCCATTTCACTGGCTGCATTACTGTGGATCCCATAATTTATTTGAATTTTTCTGTTGATGGATAGTTAAGTTGTTCTAGTCTTTTGCTAGCAGGTCTGCTGGTATAATGGTTAAGGCATCTGGCTGCTAATCAAAAGGTCAGTGGTTCAAACCCACCAGCCACTCCATGGAAGAAAGATGAGGCAGTCTTCTTCCATATAGTTTTATGCCCTTGGAAACCCAGTGGGGGTCACTATGAGTCAGAATTGACTCGATGGCAGCTAGTTTGGGTTTTTGGAGTCTTCTGCTATTACCAACAGTGTTATTGCTGTTGTTGTTGTTAGTTGCCATCAGACAATTCTGACCCATGGTGACCTCGTGTGTTGCAATGATTCTTTTTTGTATTTCTTTGTGAATAAGTGGGAGTGGAGTAGTTGAAAATGAGATTGCTGGTCAGGGACTCTAGATTTCCTGGAATCACGAAGGTTGGATGAACTCCTGAAATTGTTGCCCTGAGATAATCTTTAAACCTTAAACCAAAACATCCCCTGAAGTCTTAAAACCAAATACAATTTAGCTTACTAGTAAAAAAAAAATGTGTGCCTTGAACATTATGCTCTTAAGAACTATCTATGTAGGGCTAAATTGACAACAGCAGCCCCAAAGATTAGATAGGAACCTTTGTTGTTGTTGTTATATGCCATGAGTCGGACTCAAGTCATAGCAACCCCTTCTTGGGTTTCCAAGGTGGTATGAGGTGGTATCACTATGGAAGTAGATTGCCCAACATTCCTTCTGAGGTTTGAACCACCAGCCTTCTGGTTAGCAGTCAAGTGCCTTAGGCACTATGTTACCAGAGCTCCTGATAGGAACCTTGTTGTTGTTGTTGTTATGTGCTGTCGAGTCAAACCCGACTCATAGCGACCCCTCCTTGGGTTTCCGAGGCAGTATCACTACGGAAGTAGGATTGCCCAACCTTCCTTCCGAGGAGTGGCTGGCGGGTTTGAACCGCCAGCCGTCTGGTTAGCAGGCAAGTGTCTTAGCCACTATGCTACCAGAGCTCCCGATAGGAACCTTAGGGGACAATTAATTTGTTTAATGAAGCAGGAACAACTTAGAAAAGGAGGGTGCAAATGATACACAACTCGAAGAGTGTAATTAGTGTCAGTAATGGTACATGTAGAAACTGTTATATTGATGTATGTTTTGCTGCGTATATTTTCAACAATGACAACAAAATAAATAAAATTAAAAAATAAAAGTGAAGTTGCTGGGCCAAAGGATATATACATTTAAAATTTTACTGTTATGCACAAATTACTCCTCAAAGAACTTGTTCTCTTTTACACTACAACCAAAAATATATGAGGGTTTTTAAGAGTCTTAAAATCACATGTACTTTTTAAAAAGTTATTACCAATCTGGTAATAATCATCAGAAAGCATTTTTATGTCTTAGAAATGCGTGAAAAAGAAAGTATAAAGAATTATACCATCCAGAGATCACCACTGTTGCAATTTTGGTGTATGTCCATCCTTTTCTGAACATAAGTAGTGCCCTAAGGCATTTGACTGCTAACCAGAAGGCTGGCGGTTCAAACCCACCAGCCACTCCTCAGAAGGAAGATTGGGCAATCTGCTTCCATAGTGATACTGCCTCAGAAACCCAAGGAGCAGTCACTATGAGTCACATCTGACTCCACAGCAGTGCTTTGCATTGCATTATATTAGTAAAAAATAAAAAGTAAAAATAAGGAGCTCTGATGGTGCAGTGCCTAAGGCATTTGACTGCTAAGCAGAAGGTTGGTGGGTCAAACCCACCAGCCACAGCAGAATGAAGACTGGGCAGTCTACTTCTGTAAAGATTTATAGCCTCAGAAACCCAATGGGGGTCGCTATGAGTGGGCAGTGGGTTTGGTTTTTTGGTTTTTATATTAGTAAAAATGAGATCATGTTATTCGTTTTGTTTTGTAACTTGCTTTTCCTTTCATGTTTTGAACATTTAATCTCACCGTTAACTCCTTTACTGCAGTATTGTACCATATGGGTTAGCCACAGTTTATCTGTGGGGTAGTTTTTAAATAATCATCCCTTGTTTTGGTGTAGACGAAAATCTGTTGTTTGCCAAATGTTTTCACTTGATTTAAAAAAAAAAAAATAGACATATGGTAGAAGAGGACACGGTCAGATATTACCTCCTGAACTGCACTACCCTGATGTAGACCCAGGGGTTCTAACTGCTTGATCCTGCTGACTCCTTAACTCAGAAACTCACTGTCATTGATTCAGATCTGACTAATAGTGACCCCTCCTTGGGTTCCGAGGTGGTATCACTATGGAAGTAGATTGCCCAATCTTCCTTCCAAGGAGTGGCTGGTGGATTTGAACCACCAGCCTTCTGTTTAGAAGTCAAATGCCGTAGGCACTATGCCAGAGGATTTCAAATTTTCAAGGCCTGTGGACACACTCCCCCTCCCCTTTTTTATTTTCATTAGAATATGGCTGTTACTGCCTTTTCTAAATAAATGTTTATGGAAACTATAAAATAGGAGCTCTGGTGAATATGATCTGAGGATTTATAATCTGTAGATTGGTGTTATAGGTTAGAAATCAGGTTTTTTGTTTTTCAATAGTTGTTTACTTATCAATTGTCTAAATATGTTAATAACATTAAAGCACTTGACTGCTAACCAGAAGGCTGGCGGTTCAAACCCACCAGCCACTCCTCGGAAGGAAGGTTGGGCAATCTTACTTCCGTAGTGATACTGCCTCGGAAAACCAAGGAGGGGGCCGACTTGACGGCACATAACAACAACAATAACATATGTGGAAAGGGGGAAGGCAGTCCTTTTGAAGTTCACATTCTTTGAGAAAGAAATCTAACCTCTGTTTTTCAAATCTGTGAAATGGGACAATACGACCCTCTCTTTGCTTTCATTTGCACATCAGTTTGTTGTAGTGTGTTGGCTAGTGTGTTGCTATGGTGCTGAAAGCTATGCCACCAGTATTTCAAATATCAGCATTGTCACCCATTGTGGACACGTGTCAGCAGAACTTCCAGACTAAAACAGACTAGGAAGAAAGTCTTGGCAGTCTACTTTCAAAAACCAACCACTGAAAACCCTATGGATCTGATATAGTGCTGGAAGATAGACCACCTAGGTTGGAAGGTACTCAAAATACACAGTGACCTCAACAATGGACCAATAATTGTGGAGATGCACAGACTGAATAGAATTTTGTTTTGGTATACATGGGGTCACCGTGAGTCAGAGCTAACTTAATGGAAACTAACAATTCTGCTTTTAGGAGAGAATGAAAAGAAGTAAAATAATGTTAAACTAAGTATTATCAAATCTAGGACATAGCCTGTAAGAAATTAACATCTAAGGGAAGATGTCAGCATGTTCTGCAGTTTAGAGTGGAGTTGTAGGTAGGCTTGACCCCCAAAATGTCTGCTCCTTTCCTAAGCTGCTTAGCGCCATGGGTGGGCGGGTCTGACAAATACTATCTAGGCTAGCCCATTGCCCTGAGCTGGTAACTGTCTTTGAGTTTTCTTGGGCAGTGCTGACAAACTGCAGCATGAGATTGTTCAGTCAGGTGCAGTAATGTTAATTTAAGAATGAATTGTTCTGATGCCTCCTGCCTAAAGACAGCTATTTAACCTTTTATTTTTCTAGACTGTCTTTGCTATCAATTGTTGTCTGCCCTAGGTTAAGTCCTCTAACCTCTTTCTTATTCACCAAAACCCCTCTAGCTCTATAATTCTGTGTTTCTGGATTATTGCTTCCACTTTGGTTTGTTTGTTTGAGTTCAGTACTTATTTGCCTTCCAAGTTGCTTGTGATGGTACTGTAGCATATGTTTAAGAAATGATATGCAAATGTGTGAGCAAGCAAGATGATGGCAATAATTATGAAACAGACAGGGCCTATGTGAATTAAAGTATTTAAAAAAATACAGAGACTGGGTGAAAAATCACTGTGCATTGGTTTATTATTATTTTATTTTTGTGGGTATATTTTCTCAAGGCCTTTCCTATCTATCATGTGCAAACAAAAAATGCTGTGGCCTAAGCCTCCCAAAATTCCTATTACTAGCATTTACGTAGTCCAGGGATCAATGTGACCCTGTTTTGAGAGTTAATACTGGAGCTTGAGATAAAATGGTGGAATATACAAATGAAACATGGAGACCCTCTTCAGTTCTTTGAAAAGTTCTGTGTGATTCTTTGAAAAGTACTCAAGTGTTATTGGATAAATAAAGGCTGGCTGGGTGTGTGACCCAAGCAGCATAAACCTGTCAGCACTGCTTCTGGCCAGAACAGAAAAG